ACTTTTGGCCTTTATGAAAGTTATTTCTTTTGTACCTGACTAAAAGAACTGGGAGCATGGTGCAGGTCCTGGTAAAACATGATGTTTCCTTTCTGCAGATGTTCAAAGGCCAGTCTGCCCAGCTTCAGCAGGACGTCTGCTTCTGTCTCTGTCAGCACCAGTGTTTGTCTCTGGCCTCTGCTCCTGCAGCTGTTCTGTCTGTGCCTCTGGCATGAGTCTTATTCTCTTTGCTTCTGGACCAGACTCAGATCTTGGTTGGTTTTCCTCTGGTCTAGACTGAGATCTTGGTTGATACTTCTTCTTCCTCTTGGTCTGCACCAACAGGAAGTGGGCGTACATGTCGCTGAGTGTCTGGGGCAGCGCTCCGCTCTGATTGGTTCTCAACATGTGGTCCAGGACCGTGGCTGTGATGCTGCAGAAGACTGGGATCTGGCACATGTTGTGGAGGCTGCGGGAGGTTCTGATGTGGGACAGGACGGTCTTACACTGCTCCTTCTGATGGTCAGTGATGAAGCCCCTGACCTCTGTCACCCTGTGCACACACTGCGCTGGGATCTGATTGGCTGCTGCTGGTCTGGAGGTGATCCATATAAGGGCAGTAGGAAGCAGAGTGCCTTTGATGAGGTTCACTAACAGCACGCTGACCTCTGACCTCTGTGTGACCTCAGAGACGACCTCACAGTGAAAGTCCAGGGACAGTTTGCTCTCGTCAAGGCCGTCGAAGATGAACTCTGTCCGTTTAGAGACGGACAGAGTTTGTGCTGTGAGCGTCTGTGGACACAACAAGAACATGAACAAGAGGAAACACTTCAGTGTGATCAGGTTTATCCACACATGGAAACAAACTCACACACAAAGGACCTGACTCAAAAACCTTCAAAAAAATGACACTCTCATGATCCACTTGGACACATTTATGATTCACACAATCTTTAGTCTTTACACACATGAACTTTGACCTCAATTAAATCCTGTATATTTACCAAACACAAACGACACCACAGCAGATAAAGGAGAGTCACCTGTTCTGCCAGCGCCGCAGTGTGGAAGGAGTGACTTCAGGTCAGTACATCAGGTCATGAGGGTGATTGTGTGTGGAGGGAGTGACTTCAGGTTAGTGCATCAGGTCATGAGGGTGATTGTGGGTGGAGGGAGTGACTTCAGGTCAGTGCATCAGGTCACAGTGAGGCTGTTTCACACTGAGGTTCTGGAGCTACACGACCAACAGTTTGAGTTCAGTGAGACTTTTGTAGTTTGTCACAGAGCGACTCTGATGCTGCTGCTGCTGCTGCTGATGATGATGATGATGATGCTCACTCCACATGTGCACAGGACATGTGTGTGTTTGCACATACAGAGTCTCACCTCTACCAAAGGTCTCAGACCACAAAAACATTTTTACAAAAACATGGAAATATGTTGGTTTGATTTGAACTTAAAGAAACTATAAAGACTAAAGTGTCTGTGTGTAAAGTGAAGACGACAGGAGCAGAGTCACACAAACAAAACCTGCTGCAGTGAGTCTGACTGAAACATCCTGATACACACATTTACACACACAACACACTTCACATGCCACTTCACACACACAACACACACACACTTCACACACACACACACACACACACACACACACACACACACACACAACTCACACAACACACACACACACACACACACACACACACACACACTCACACACACACACACACACACACACACACACACACACACACACACACACTCACACACACACACACACACACACACACACACACACACACTCACACAACACACACACACACACACACACACACACACACACACACACATCACACACACACACACACTCACACACACACACACACACACACACACACACACACACACACTCACACACACACACACACACACACACACACACACACACACACACAACACACACACACACACACACACACACACACACACACACACACACACACACACACACACACACACACACACACACACACACACACACACACACACAACACACACACTCACACAACACACACACAACACACACACACACACACACACACACACAACTCACACACACACACACACACACACACACACACACACACACACACACTCACACAACACACATCACACACACACACACACACACACACACACACACACACACACACACACACACACACAACACACACAACACACACACACACACACACACACACACACACACACACACACACACACACACACACACACACACACACAACACACACACACACACACACATCACACAACACACACAACACACACACACAACACACACACACACACACACACACACACACACACACACACACACACACACAATACACACCAACTCACACAACACACACACACACACACACACACACACACACACACACACACACACACACACACACAACACACACACAATCACACACGACGAAAGGCAAATGAAAACACCACGGACCTCAAGTAAAAAGGAACAAGACACACTAAAAATGAGCAGAGCGACAAAAACAAAAATGAAACTTATAAAACATGTGAATATGTTGTTTTGAGCGAATATAAAATTTTCAAAACAATAACAGGAACACGGTGATGTAAATATGTGATGTGTTATAGATAATTCCCCACAGAGTCACACACCTCCTCTTTAACTAAACCCAACAGAACTTTCTGGTCCAAAACAGTCAGATCCAAAGTGAAGAACGGTCCCAGTCCAGTCTCTTTGGCCTCGTTCAGTTTCTGTGTTTCGAGTTTTTAGTAGTAACATTGAAGCTCCATTTTGTTCTTTCTCTTGACCTTTTGTTCTCGTTGTTGTGTCGTCATCATGGGACAAGTCCAGTTTCTGTTCAGTTTTGTCTCGTCTCTTTTACCAGAGTCGTAGAGGAACCTTCTTTATTGATTCTAAACGCAGGAAACAGAGGCTCAGAGAAGGACGAGGAGAAGGTCCAGAGGTGGGACAGTTCTCCATCAGACGAGACCTCATAAAAGGACAGAGCTCCAGCCTCAGAGTCCAGGAACACGCCCACTCTGCCCGACAACACGGCCTCGCCCTCTCTCTCCGGGCGACAGGAGCGTTGGAGCGGTATTGCGTTGTTTTCGTGACAGACGTAGTACTCTCCAGCGTCATAGATCCTCAGACTCCAGGAGTGATCACCGTTTCCAAACACATTATCCTGTCCCAGTCCGGTCCGTTTGATCCCTCTGTAACTCACTGCGATGTGAACCCTCCCTCTCCAGTCCACCTCCCAGTAACAGCGCCCCCTCAGGCCAGTGCAGCTCAGGACCTGACCGTGGTCTGTGAACCTGTCGTCATGATCTGGATACTCCTGCTCCTCCTCCACACAGGTCACAGTCCGATGGTCCTCAGACAGAAGCAGACGTCTGTGAGCTGAGTTTGGGTCCAGAGAAACGTCACAGGAGTCTGAAACACAAACACTTCACCTCAGTCTTTTATTATGACTGAGTCTAGGTTTAGTGCACCTGTCATGCACCTGTCACGCACCTGTCCTAAACACTATTTGATGCAGTAAAAGAAGTTGGGTGAAAAAGCGTGATGTGTCACCTTCAATACATCTGTAAAAAACGAACCCTAACCACAGCCAATCGTTTACTCCGTTAAATAAATATTCTCAGCCATTTGACACTAAACTCTAATCTGATGTTAAAACAGGTTCCTTTTAATTTGAAAAAACAACTACCCAAGTCCACAAAATCTGAAAACATATAAGTTCTGCTGCAGAAAAGTTACGGAGTGTGCCTGAACTCATCGTCTCGGTGTAGAGCGCACGGCTCCTTCTGCCTCTCAAAACAACAGTTGGAGCTCAAACAGCGCCGTCTAACCGACTTTCAGTAGAATAGAGTCCCCGGTCGGTGACTTCAACATGTCACGTGGGCAACGACAGTGACACGTGGAGAGGGGAGATCAGGAGGAGCGGCCTCCTTGAACTGAACCCGAGCGGTGTTCTGTTATTGGACTTCTGTGCTCGTCACAGTTTGTCCAGAACCAACACCACTCGGGTTCACACATTTAATTGTGTTAGGAGTTTCAGATGGTGTCCACGGGCAGAACCAGACAGGAGCCCGTGAGCAGAGAGACACGAGGCTCGTTGGCCGATTAATGATGTATTTTGCATTTAAATCAGCAGAATTCACACTGTTCCTGTAAACTTTACATTTAGACTGTAAACTTTACATTTAGACTGTAAACTTTACATTTGGACTGTAAACTTTACATTTAGATTCAATCTTTACATTTGGACAATAGACTTTACATTTGGAGTGTATTTGAACTGTAAACTTTACATTTAGATTTTAAACTTTACATGTGGACTATAAACTTTACATTTGAACTGTAAATTTTACATTTAGATTTTAAACTTTACACGTGGACTATAAACTTTACATTTGAACTGTAAAGTTTAGATGTAGACTATAAGCTTTGCATTTAGATTCAAACTTTACTTTCGGATTGTAAACTTTACATTTGAACTATAGACTTTACAGTTCAAATGTAAAGTTTACAGTCCAAATGTAAACTTTACATTTGGACTATAAGCTTTACATTTAGATTCAAACTTTACATTCGGATTGTAAACTTTACATTTAGATTCAAACTTTATATTTGGACTATAAACTTTACATTTAGATTCAAACTTTACATTTGGACTATAAACTTTACATTTGAACGTAATAAATGATACGTTTTTTATCTTTTTTATACGCTGTTGATGCACTATTTAAAGAAAAATGGCAGATTTGCCTTAATTAGACAGACGACAATACCATCTGTCGCGGTATAATTGGTGTCATCATGATCTTAAAACATGGAGATTTACCAATTCTATCTCTGACACAGATTTGTATCATGTAAATGAGACGAGTGTGGTCCTTGTTTACACTTTACAACTTTTCTCTGCACTTTACTGTGTGAAAGAAATAAAAAGACTCACACTTCCTCAGACCTGGAACCATCCAGCGCTCTCCAGCAGGATCCAACCTGAAACACACAAGTCCAGTTTAGACCAGACCAGAACCAGACCAGGACCAGACCAGGACCAGACCAGGACCAGACCAGGACCAGAACCAGGACCAGAGACCAGACCCAGTACTAGAGACCAGTGTGGTCTCTCACAGACAGCAGGGGGCGCGCTCACCTGACAGACAGCAGGGGGCGCTGGTCCTGTAGAGCGGTCAGGAGCTCGGCGGAGGGTCCTGGATGGTTGTAGCTCAGGTCGAACTCTCTGAGGTGGGAGGGGGCGGAGCTCAGAGCTGAGGCCAGAGCAGCCCCGCCCCTCTCTGAGACCAGACATCCAGACAGCCTAAAGACACAGCATTACACTCATGTGGACACAAGGGGGCAGAGTGCATCATGGGAGCGTCTCACCTGAGCGTCTCCAGTCTGCAGGGGGCGCTCTTCAGTCCAGAACACAGCAGCTCCACTCCTGAGTCCTGGAGGTCGTTGTGACTGAGATCCAGATGTGTGAGACTGGAGGAGCTGAGGACTGAGGCCAGAGGAGCACAGCTGTGAGGAGACAGACCACAGCCACAAAGACTGAGGACAGAGAGGGACATTAGAGACTAGAACCTCCACACAAGAGTTTAAATACAGTCTGAGGACAGAGAGGGACATTAGAGACTAGAACCTCCACACAAGAGTTTAAATACAGTCTGAGGACAGAGAGGGACATTAGAGACTAGAACCTCCACACATGAGTTTAAATACAGTCTGGACTCACAGGGCTTTGGTGGAGGCTCTGACCACCGGCAGCAGACCCAGGAGAGCTCTTCTCTGAGGCCTGGTATTTCCTCAGGTCAAACTCCTCCAGGTCTGAGTCTGAGGACAGTAAGATGAAGGACAGAGCAGACCACTGAGCACGAGACATGGTTCCATCAGAGAGGTATCTTCTCATGTTCTTCTGTATCTCCTGCACCAGACTTTGGTCGTTGAGCTCGTTCAGACAGTGGAACAGGTTCAGACTTCTCTCTGCAGACAGACCCTCTTCATCCAGCTTCTGTTTGATGAACTTTACTGTCTCCTGATTGGTCGGGTCACTTCCTGTGTGAGTCAGCAGACCCTGCAGCAGCTTCTGATTGGTCGGCAGAGACAGCCCCAGGAGGAAGCGCAGGAACAGGTCCAGGTGTCCGTTTGGACTCTGTAAGGCCTGGTCCACAGCAGAGCGGTAGAAGGCCTCAGGGTCTGGACTCTCAGAGGAGTGTGGTGTGTCTCCAGCAGGTTCTCTCCAGAGCTGTGGAAGGTCTGATGGACGTGAAGAGCAGCCAGAAACTCCTGCACACTCAGATGGATGAAGCAGTAGACCTTGTCCTGGTACAGGCCTGGCTCCTCTCTAAAGACCTGTGTGAACACTCCGGAGTACACTGAGGCCGCTGCAGCGTCCAGCCCACACTCGCTCAGGTCACTCTCGTAGAAGATCAGGTTTCCTTTCTGCAGCTGCTCAAAGGCCACTTTTCCCAGAGACTTCACCATCTCCCTGGTCTCTGGAGTCCAGTGAAGGTCCTCCCCTGATCCCTGCTGATACTTGATGTTCTGGACTTTGGCCTGCACCACCAGGAAGTGGACGTACATCTGTGTGAGAGTCCGGGGCAGCTCTGGTTCTGTTTTGTTCCAGAAGCTTCTGTAGAACTTTGGAGAGGATCCAGCAGAAGATCGGGATGTGGCTCATGATGTGGAGGCTGCGGACGCTCTTGATGTGGGAGATGACGACCGTGGCCTGGTCTCTGAACCTCTTCCTGAAGTACTGCTCCTTCTGCGGGTCGGCGAACCCTCGCACCTCTGTCACCATGGAGACGCACTCAGCAGGGATCTGATTGGCCGCGGCGGGGCGCGTGGTTATCCAGAGGAGAGCGGAGGGAAGCAGGCTCCCCCTGATGAGGTTCACCAGCAGCACGTGCACTGAGGCGGACTCTGTGGGGTCGCTCAGGACCCGGGTTCGGCCGAAGTCCAGAGGAAGTCTGCACTCGTCCAGACCGTCAAAGATGAAGAGCACCTGGAGCTGTTGGAAGCTGCAGAGATCTTTGGATGGACTGAAGAAGTGGTGCAGCAGCTCCACCAGGCTGAACTGTGTGTCTCTGAGCACGTTCAGATCTCTGAAAGTGAAGGGGAACAGCAGCTGGAGGTCCTGGTGGGCCCGGCCTTCAGCCCAGTCCAGACTCAACTTCTGAGTCAGCACTGTTTTCCCCACGCCGGCCACGCCCTTCGTCAGCACTAATCTGATTGGCTGTGGTGAATGTGGGCGGGGTTTAAAGAGCTCTTCACATGTGATGGTCTCTGGAGCGGCCGGTCTCCTGGACGCCGTCTCCACGTGTCTGACCTCATGTTCCTGGTTGACCTCTGAGGCTCCGCCCTCTGTGATGTAGAGCTCTGTGTAGATCTGGGTCAGGGGGGCGGAGTCTCCTGCTTTAGCCACGCCCTCAAACACACGACTGAACCTCTGCTGCAGATCACACTTCAGTTTATCTCTGAATCCAACTTTACTCCCTTTAAACAACACACAAGAGTTAGAATGTCAAACATGTCACATATTTCATACAGGAGGAAATCTGACACACAGGGAGGGACCTGACACACAGGGAGGGCACCTGACACACAGGGAGGGAACCTGACACACAGGGAGGGCACCTGACACACGGGGATACAGGAGGATGGGAGGGCATCTGGAGGTTCTTACTGTCTCTCAGGCGCTGGGCCAGATGTTCCTGGTCCATCCTCTTCAGGAAGTCCAGGGTGATGTTCAGAACCTCTCTGCTCTCCTCCTCCTCACTCTCGGAGCATTCTGGGTAATCTGAGGCCAGGAGCCTGAGGAGCCTCTGCAGCTGCTGTTGGACAAACCTCAGGACCTGCTCCTCCAGAACCTGGAACCACACACTGTGTGAAGAAGTGTTCTGAGTGTGACGTCACCCACAGCTCAGCTCCAAATGAAGCTCGTCAAAGAGCCAATCAGGAGCGAGGATGCTAAAGGGAAAGACAAAGGAAACCAGGGCTCCATCCAAAAACGGGCCAAAATACCTCCTTCCTCGTCCTTCTCTTTATCACTGACCTTTGAGAACCACGTCATGAGGTCGACGATAAAGACCCAGGAGGAGGAAGGAGCAGTGAGGAGAAGGAGGCGGATCTGGATCCTCCGAACCAGTGAAAACGACACAACAAGCGCATCACCTCCACTAGAGCGAGACTGATGAAGAGCTGCACACGTACGACCTGCACACGTACGACCTGCACACGTACGACCTGCACACGTACGACCTGCACACGTACGACCTGAAAACTGAGTCGTGTCTTTTAGTTCCACAGAAGCCGACTGCATCAGGGCGCGAGGAGGGAGCTATGTTTTTTTTTCAGTCCAGTTTTTGCAAACATGTGCCATGTGGTTTTAAGTTTTGTTTCTGTAAAACGTAAATTCATCCTCCATGTTCTTCTTCTTCTCTGGGGTCAAGTCTCGGAGCATCAGTCTGAACAGAGACTCCCAGACTTCCTTCACCCCAGACACTTCCTCCAGCTCCTCCAGTGGGACCTGAGGTGTTCCCAGTCCAGTCCAGAGACATGGTCCCCCCAGTGTGTCCTGGGTCTTCTCCTCCTCCTGGTGGGACATGAACACCTCCTGAGGGACACGTCCAGGAGACGTCAGAACAGACGTCCTCCCCTCAGACGCTCCTCTCCACGTGGAGGAGCAGCGGCTCTACTCCGAGCTCTTCACTCTGTCTCTAAGGGAGACGCCCGGACGCCCTGCGGAGGAAACTCATCTGTGTCTCTTGTATCGTGGATCTGGTCCTTCGGGTCATGACCAGAGGTGAGGGGAGGAACAGAGACTCAGCTCCTCTTCACCACAAAGACTGATACAGCGACCACATCACTGCTCACGCTGCACCTGTCCACCTGTCAATCTGCCCACGTTGCACCTGTCCACCTGTCAATCTCACGCTCCGTCCTCCCCTCCCTCAGTTGTAGTACTTCTGTGTGGAGCTGTCGCTGCAGAGCTCTCGGGGGAGTCTGGGGACATGGAGTCTGAGTGAGCTTCA